CAGAGGATCAAGTTAGATCTTTTGAGGGGCTTAAGTCATCTTTGATCAACAGCGTAGTTTTGGCTCACCCAAAATTCGATCAGCCCTTTATTCTATCTACTGATGCCTCATTGGATGGCCTCGGAGCTGTTTTGTCTCAAGTGCAAGAGGGAGATACAATGGCTAGGCCAATTGCATTCGCCAGTAAATCGCTTTCTCGGTCACAAAGAAATTATCCTGCTCACAGGTTGGAATTTTTGGCGTTAAAATGGGCAGTGTGCGACAAGTTTAGCCACTGGCTAAAAGGTAACAAGTTCACCGTCTGCACTGATAATAATCCGCTGACCCATATTATGACTAAGCCAAAATTGGATTGTTGCGAGCAGCGATGGGTAGCAAAGTTAGCCAGCTATGATTTCGATATTAAGTACATCCCTGGTTCTCGGAATCTAGTTGCCGATGCTTTGAGCCGCGAACCGTTTGTGCACGTGGGACACAGGTTGTTGCATGAAGCTTTTGATTGTCTCAGGAACAATATGACTGAGATGTCTGATGTTTCTGTTCAAAATGCGTTTAGACAGTCAACAAATAGTGATGATCAATTTCCTCGGCCAGATTCTGTTTTCCACAATGGCATGACTTTTTCAAGTGATGAGGTTTCAGCAGTGTTTCGGTCCCATAATGACTGGGAGACTGGAGCACAAGTACGTGCAATATCAAATTTACACTGTGTGCCTCAGGTGGTTGATAATGACTATGGTTGTCTTCCTGCGTACTCAGTGAGTGAGCTTCGTGATAAACAACGCAGCGATAGCATTTTATCTCGCGTTGTGGAGTACGTAGAGAGATGCCGTAGGCCTTCGAGAAGAGAGAGAGCGCATGAACCTTTTCAAGTTGTAAGGTATTTGAAACATTGGGAAAAATTTAAGATGGTCGATGGAGTGCTTTACAGGGTGTCGAAGGATAGCTTTTTGAAGACAAGGCGTTTCCAGTTTGTAGTCCCCGAATCACTTAAGGTTGAGGTAATGAAAGGAACACATGATCATGCAGGCCATCAAGGTCAGTTCAGAACCCTCAGTCTAGTGAGGCAACGTTTTTTCTGGTTGTCTCTCGACAGAGATGTGCGTGAATATGTACGTCAGTGCCAGCGTTGTGTCGTCAGCAAGACCGCCGAACCCAGTGATAGAGCTCCTCTAGTTAACATACAGTCAAGCAGACCTCTACAGATTGTCTGCATTGACTTTTGGTCAGCAGAAAACTCACAAAACAAATCTGTTGATGTTCTTGTTGTGACCGACCATTTTACTAGACTGGCTCAGGCCTTCTTGTGTAGAAATCAGTCAGCTAAGGAGGTAGCCAAGGTTTTATGGGACAAATTCTTCTGCATCTATGGCTTTCCTGAGAGAATACACTCCGATCAAGGAGCTAACTTTGAGAGCAATCTTATCAGTGAACTTCTCAGAGTGTCAGGTGTTAGGAAATCCCGTACAACCCCATACCACCCAATGGGGAATGGTGCTGTCGAACGATTTAACAGGACGCTTGGTAATATGATTCGTGCATTGCCTCCTGGAGAGAAGTCTGATTGGCCGAGGCGGTTACAGTCTCTCACTTTCATGTACAACTGTACGGTGCATGAGACTACCGGGTTTGCACCTTTCTACCTCATGTTTGGGAGGGTGCCCCGTCTGCCTATAGATCTAATGTTTCAAAGTGTCTTGAGTGACTCAACAACTACTGATTTTTCCAAGTATGTGTCTTCACTTACGAAGGATCTTTCTGAGGCTATGAAAATAGCTCAGAAACATGCTTCTAAGGAGCAACATCGTCATGCTGTGCTGTATAATAGGAAGACAAAAGGGTCTGATATTAGCATTTCTGATCGTGTACTGTTGGCGAATCGTGCTGAGAGGGGAAAGAAAAAAATTTCAGATCGTTGGGAGACTGCAATCTACATCGTGATTGAAAAATTTCCTGATACAAACACATACAGAATTCGTAATACTACCACCGGCCAGGAGAAAGTAGTTCACCGTAATTTGTTATTACTAGTCAACTTTCTTCCACTGACAGATGATTCTGGATCCTTGTCCCCTTCAAGTGATCCAGGAACAGATGTTTTCTCGTCAGCTGAGAATTCCCCTTTGCACGATGCTGACTTGTGCTTAGATCAGAATGAGACTGTAGATGGTGTCCCTAGTGGTAACTGTTTGGATGAGTCCATCAATGTGAGTTCTGATGCTGATATGGGCACTACTGCTGTTGGTGAGTTTGATAGTGTTATCCCTATTCCAGCTGACTCAGTGTCTATCAGAGATGATCTGTCCATTGTTGAGGACACTGGAACGATCTGTTCTAGTGTAACAGGTGTTGGTAGAACTCTGGAATGGGTCTCTCAGTTACCTGAGGATAGCTCTGATTGGGCTGACCTACACAGTGAAATGTCTTGTCCTGCTAGCACAACAGCCAGTCTTGATGTGGTGAATACAATGAGTGATGTTCCTCTTGTTCGTCCTGAGCAACCTGCTGGTTCCGTTCCACTACCCAGTCAGCCATGCAATTCAAGTGGTAGTCTAAGACAAGTCCAGGATGACTTTCCCCGTGTATTTACCCGAGCGACATCACGTTTTGGACGTGTCATCAGACCAGTAAATAGATTACTCTATACTATGTCAAGACAAGACGTAAGCCATAATTCTAGGGGTTATGTAACATCCATTTGTAAGTCAATTGTTCAAGCTCTTCGAGAGTAGTTGTTTTTTTGAGACAGTTAATGGATGTTTTGCGATTGAGATTTGGGAACTAAAGAAGCTTTGCTTCTATGTGATTTTTTTTTTCTTCCTCTCTCTTTACTCTTAAGGCTAATAATAGTGGTATTATTTCATTTATTTATTTTCTCAAATATTTTTGTTGGTGTACACACTTTACTGTAACTTTGTTGTATTTTGTCGCAGAGTTGTGGGGTGTATATTGGGCATCCTGCAGACAGTTGATAAGTTGAGACTATGGCGCCAGTCTCTTCTTTATTCATCCTTACGGGATACTTTGATAGTTGTTAGTTTCTCTGTGTGTTGGTCTTGTATTTTGACAGATTATTGTGTGTATCTTATCGTTTTTTTTCGCATGTTCGCGATTTTGGTGAAATTCAGCTGGGGTGGATGTAACAGGGTTAAAATAATGTTTAATTGTCTTTCACCAAAATGGGTTATTTTGTTTATTTTCTGGTTGTTGAGAGACCTCTTGTGGCAATAGTGTGTAATTGTTTCTTTCACCTTTCACCTGCAAAGCCCCGCCTACAGCAGAAAATGGTTGCTGAATGCAGAAAGGCGGTAGGTAAAATGTGCTCCAGCTAAATGTGACAAATTTTGTATTTTAACACATATTAATAACACATACAAGTCCAATATGAACCTTAAGTGATGTTTTAGATCAAATCTGTCGAGTGATTGCCGTGTGTAACAAACTTTGTGTGGTTTAATTTGCTCATGCTATGTGTAGCTGGAATGATGACATTAATATGTGCAGGGGTGATTTCTTACTATTTGTTTGGTTTTTTAGATGCATGTTTAAATGCATACTGTTGCCAGAGGATGTATATTTCTGTTACAGGTATGTTGAACTTTTGTAAATAAATAATGTTTTGTTAAAATGACTTTATGTGGCAACACAGCAGAAAATGGTTGCTGAATGCAGAAAGGCGATGCATGTTTAAATGCATACTGTTGCCAGAGGATGTATATTTCTGTTACAGAATAAACAACGCAGAACGCAGTTCTCTGTGTCCGCCTGAGTGATTTGCGTCATCAGGAAGAGAAGCGTTACACAAAGTTCTTAAATGTTACAGCAGCCCAAAAGAAAATTTATATCAAGAGGTTCAGGGCTATGAGCCCAACTAAAGCAAACACTTTTCCCCATGATGGAGACTTTAGTCTCTGTTGACCACAAAGGTTTTAAGATAACTGGGCCACATTTGCAATATCTTCTCTGGGCCACTATAGGCTAATGGCTGCATTAGCCAGAGTTTATTGTGCCAACTATTTGGCAAATGTGGCCCACATATGTTTTAAAATAACTGGGCCACATTTGCCATATCTTCTATGGGCTGCTTTAGGCTCACAGCCACATTAGCCAGAGCTAACTGTGCCAAATATTTGCCAAAAGTGGCCCACATATGTCTTAAGAAAGCTGGGCCACATTTGCATCTACACGTGTGAGACACTTTAGGTTTAGACCCAGATGACCCCTAAATGTCTATGACACATTTTTGCCAACTGTAGCCCACATTTGTCCTCTATCATTTGGGCCAAATTTACTATTTTCCACATGAGCCACATTAGGCTCACATTCATTACATTTCGCCATAAGTGCCAAACCTTTGCCTTAAATGGCCCATATATAGGAATTTGAATCTTTGGCCCCCTTTGCCATTGTACAAGTGGGCCACTTCAGGCTCACATTCATTTTGTCTGGGCCGAAGGAAGACCACCAGTGCTGCATAACTGCCTAAAGTGGCACACATTTGTATGCTATCTAGGCGCAATATACTGAGAATCAAGTCAAAAACAGAATGGACAGGCCAACTTTTTTATTTCCAATATAAAGTATATTGAGGACATGCTTGGGAAAGCATGGGGGCATATAATTAATCAGATAAAAAAAAAATAAAACATTTGGGTGAAATAAAAAAAGAAAAGAAATTAAAATGTATTTAATTGGATGGAGGGACAGCCAGAGATGCAAACTTGTCAGATTTTGATGAAAATCCTTTTGGATGGTGAAAAATTGTCCGTCTCTGATATTTTTCTAGACATGATTAATTCAGAAATTAATTTTAAAAACATTAAAGACCATTCTCTATTTTTGTTAAAACATTATAATCTTACAATTCAAACATATTACAAAGGAAAGATATGTGTGTGTAAATACTTGACTGTAAGATCCATAATATACATTCAGTAATCTTAGATTTTCATTTCACATTTTTACATTTCAAGGGACAAATGTATTTCAGAATCTCTAACCTGTTGTCCCAGCAGTTTCCTCATTGCTTCCCTCAGCTCTCCTGTGCTTATTTCACCATCTCCATTTGTGTCAAACTGAAAACAAATCATAATATCAAATAAAATGATTTCAAATGTGATATATATATTTTAAAAGGACACTCCACTTTTTTTGGAAACTTAGTTTATTTTACAAGTACAATAGAATCAAAAAGCTGAGTTTTACCATTTTTGAACCCATTCAGTAGATCTCCGAGTCTGGCTAAAACACTTTTAGCTGAGCTTAACATATATTATTGAATTGGGTTAGACCATATCACTCAAATTAAAAAAAAACTATTTAAAACTTAAATTTTTTACTATTTAAAACTGTAATTACAGTCTGTACTAAGACTGATGGAAAATGAAAAGTTGTTGTGCTTCAGCAGGCAAAATGATATTATAGTTAGCTAGATTGGGACTACTTTCAAGCACTGCAAATATTATTGCTGAATCGTTTCAAAAAATGGTAAAACTTAACTGTTTAACTAGATGATTTGTTAAATGAGCCTATTTCCAAAGAAGGTGTAGTTTTCCTTTAAATGATAACTTTCCACTCACCTCTTTGAAGGCATTTCTCAGCTCCTTTATGCCGATCATGTCTGCTGTCTCGGCAAGAAGTTTAGGTCCCATCAACTCCACAAAATCCTCGAAGTCCACATGGCCACCTACTAAGAAAACCACACTGATGTCAATATTTCATAATAAGGAGACTGATATAAGATAAGACTGGTGCAGACACTGAAACTTACAGTTCATATTGATCTGTTGGCTCAGCTCTATTAGCTCCATCTCAGTTGGCATGTATCCCATAGTCCTCATGCAGTTTCCCAGGTCTTTACAGCTGATGAAGCCATCTTTATCTTTATCAAACTCCTTAAACGCGTCTCGCAGCTCTTCACTCGACAAAACAAACAGAACTTATAAATAGTATGTTACATTAAGTTCAATTCAATTAACTTTACAAATCATTTCAACTTACATCAATAAAACTAACTTAAAACATTAAGTTAAAATTTGCATAACCTAAAAAGCCTTATCAATTATATCTTATTACATACATTAAAGTAACACAAAAGCATAATCACATACACACACTACCTTGTCGTCAATAATACTTGTAAGTGCAACAAATAATAACTTGACTTAGTATTAATTAGACTTATTTGGAAAAGTGGCAGAAGGTAGATTTTTCTGATGAATCATCCTTTAAACTTCATCCCAATCATCACAAATACTGCAGAAGACCTATTGGAATCCACATGGACCCAAGATTCTCACAAAAATCAGTCAAGTTTGGTGAAGGAAAAATCATGGTTTGGGGTTACATTCAGTATAGGGGTGTGCAAGAGATCTGCAGCGTGGATGGCAACACCAACAGCCTGAGATATCAAGACATTTGTGCTGCCCATTACATTAAAAACCACAGGAGAGGGCAAATTCTTCAGCAGGATAGCACTCCTTCTCATACTTCAGCCTTAACATCAAAGTTCCTGAAGGCAAAGAGGGTCAAAGTGCTCCAGGATTGGCCAGCCCAGTCACCAGATATGAACATTATTGAGCATGTCTGGGGGTAAGATGAAGGAGGAGGCATTGAAGATGAATCCAAAAAATCTTGATGGAACCTTGGAAGCCCTGCAAAAACGATTTCCTTGTCATTCCAGATGACTTTCGTCGTCCGAGCTCATTGGAGTCATGCACAATATTAATTATTTTTCCACTGCACCATGACTTTATATTCTGTACTGTCCATTATTTCTGTTTAGTGACAAGACTTTTGTTTAAGCAAAGTCAGACCTTACTGTCATAATTAAATACTTAAAATCAAGGCATGATCATATTTTATTTTGTAAAATAAGCATAATCTAGAGGCCTTTGCCTTTCAAATAAGCCAATTCTGATACTAAATGATCAACTAAGTCAAGTTATTATTTGTTGTTTCTTGAAGAGGCGACAAGACAAGATGAGACAAAACAGGAAATTATTTCAAGCTTGACTGTATATATAGTACATTTACTGTACAAGTACATTTTCAGAAATAATGGTCCAATGTTTTTTTTTTTAATTATTATTTTACATCTTTACATTTTTTACTTATTACATATTTTAAATAATAACCAGGCTTCAACAATTTTTAAACAAAATTTAACTTAATGTTTTAGTAATTTACTGATGTCAATTGAGAAGTCTAGAAAAGTTTAACTGATTATAAATATTACATAAAGTGTACATAAAGTGTTTATACTCCTGTACTTTTATTAGCAGACATATTAGTAAGTGTAAAAGCACCTATTTTTCCATATTAGACAACTTTTGTGCCTATTTTTCGAATATTTGTACGATTATAGGCGAGTTTATACAGCTTTGAAGAAGCTAAAATAACTAGAAAAGAGTGTAAAATCTTACCATCAATCTCCTCAGGTCTCAACTCTCGATTCTGCAAAAACACAAGAAAACAGAAAAAAATGTCAAAATAACAACAGGAAGGTCAAATATTAAAGCCACAGCGTCCAAAAATCAAAACCTCACAATAAAATCCAGGCTGTCGAGGAAATTAAGTTCCTCTGAAGTTGGTTTTACCACCAGAAAACCTTCAACCAGTGGTGCGTCCAGACCAGTCAAAGCAGCCATTGCTTCTATCTGTACAAAGGTGTTTAGAATTAGTTTTATAGAGTTTAAAGGAGCGATAGTGCGTTACAAAAAGGTGAGGTGGTCTTAGTCATGTGGCAACGGCATTTGTCCAGCGTCACAGCTGAGTGAACAAATCTCTTCAACCAAGACAGAAAAAAATGCGTCTTCACCTAACAGTGACAACCTTTAAAGGCGATGGAGAGGGAGAAAGATGGAGAACAGAAGCTGTTGCGTTCACCACAGGGTAAGAAAGGAGTATAAACATGCAGTCTTTACTGACGTAGGATCATGACATTCACGCACACACACATGCAAAAACATGCGACCTAAATTGTAGACCAAAACAAAGGAGCAGCAATTTATGCGACGTAAATACATACGCCTACGAGGCAGCATGAGGAATAAGAAAACTCAGTTGCTTATATAAGTGGCATCAAACATTCCAGGGCAAAGCCACACATAAGCAAGTCTTTTGTGGACTGTATTTATAGCAACACATCATTGTTGACAGTCATCATTGACACTGCAGTAGGTCTATGCGTGCGATCGAGTATTTGTTAAGGTCTAAATTCCAAGGTCAGTTTTCATTCATTCGTATTGTGGAAGCATAACCTGTAAATTCCTATTTCCATCTGAGGACACATTTCTCACACTTCAGTTTCATTTACCTCAGAGCCTTTATTCTTAAACATTTAAAAAAATAGTTATTAATAGGAGTGTGATAAAGAAAATGGCTAAACAAAATTCATGTTTCTAATAGCCATTAAAATGTACTGTTAGTAATAGCTAATTAAAAGAAAATTAAAATAATTAATGTGTTATTGTATTCTTATTAATTTTTTAAGGACAGCAGTAATGTAACGAATTACATTTTAAAATTTGTGTAATTTGTTTACAGTTAAAGTCAGTGTAATTGCATTACTTACGTTACAAATAAAGTTTTAAAAGAAAAAATGCTTCTTTTAAATCCAGTTTTCTGCTGCAATGTCAGTTAATAAGCATGCACTTTTAAACTGCTGAAGAATGCGAGCTGAAAGAGCTGCTGACTGGAATGTTTCCTTCTTCAAGTGGAAATACAGACAATACTTAGATTTTATTGAGCGTAAAAACAAAAATATTGCTGTGAAATTTGGAATACTGTATGTCCAGTCTCTAAAGAACTTTCGATTGCTTTTAACTTGACCAGCAACTTGTTCAAACACTTGAAGGCATTATTTAGCCCCTTTCACACAAACAGACTTTTCTGGAAAATTACCAGCAGTTTTGCAGAAAGCTCTGTATGTGTGAACAGCCCCTTTTTGAAAAAAACAATACATTTTTTCTAGAAATTTTCTGGAAAGAGGTTGTAAAATTACCGGTAATTTGCCGTAAAGCTGCTCTATGTGAATGCAGAAGAAAGGTTGCCAGAAAGAGCACGTTCACGTATAGAATGCACTGACATGAGGCGTCTACTTTAGCCAATCAGAACACTCAGACGCATTTACATCCGCATTGTTTATGACAAGCCTTTGAATATTTTTCCAGACACATTGAGCTGCTAGCTGTTAGTCAGATGACTGTTTCTATGTTCCTTCTTAATGCCAATTGTGAAATAAATTATAGATAAAATGCTTATGATAAACCGTTGTTTGTTTACCTTCAAGCTCTAACGCGTGTGCACATGAAGCAGCCGGTGAGGGTCAGCACACACACATGTACATTTCGACATGTGAAAGTGTTCCTATATATGTTTTCACTAAAGTTGTTCACGATACTTATCCATCCACAGAGTTTGTATTGTAGTCGAATGTTCACAAATACAAGTGCAGCTGTTTAGAGCTCATTTCTGGTTAATGGTGTCAGAATTTACAGTTTTTTTTGAATGGATGTGTGAACTGTCTTTTCCGAAAAAATTCCTTAACGTCCTTGTCTGTTTGAACAGTGCTTTTTTGAACTTACCTGAAAAGTCATTCCAGACATTTTCCAGATATTTACCGGTATCGTGAAAGGGGTTTACGACAATTCTTGCCACCAAGGAGGACCCTGGTGTTCAAAAATACAGCAGTCCAACTCAACCTAAACAGGCTAAATTTAATTTTTTGAAAGATTGGGATTTCCCAGAGATGGGTTGCGGCTGGAAGGGCACGGCTGCGTAAAAACTTGCTGGATAAGTTGGCGGTTCATTCCGCTGTGGCGACCCCGGATTAATAAAGGGACTAAGCCAACAAGAAAATGAATGAATGAATGAAAGATCGGGAATGAAGGTATCTTCTGATTGTGAAGAAAAGCATAGCTACTTATGGGGCTGTTCACATATCACGTCTTTTGTGTGTGCAAGTTCTTTATTTACAATGAAGGTATGCGGCTTGCACACACATATTCAGAGCGCATATTGTGTGTGCTCGCATTTTCCAGGCGCACTAGTTGAAAACCAGAAGTCAAGCGACAAGAACTGACCAATCAACTTCTTGTTTTGTATGAAATATATACAATTCGGTAGAATAATTACCTCAGACAAACACAGAACACCAAAACACTGCAGTGCTTTTTAGAATACTATGGATGTCAATGAATACAGGTATCCAGTTTTCCTTATGTTTTTTTTTTTTTTTTTTTTGTGTTTAAAAAATGACAAATAAGTTTGGAACAAGTGAATGATGAAAGAATTTTAAGTTTTGAGCGAACTCTTTAAATCTTTATACATGTCATGTCAGTATAGTAAGCAGTTGTGATCAACCCATTGTAATGCTTTTTAGTGAATACTAAAATACTGAAAGAGCTGCAGTTTAGTTAGAATTTTTATAGGTATATTTGACATGTTTTAAAAGTAGCTTCAAACTAATGTAATCAGTAATCTGATAACTTTTTAAATTAAGTAATTATTAACGTAATCAGTTTACAATTTTCCAGTGGTAGTCAGTTATTCGTAACCTATTACTTTTTTTAAGTAACTAAGCTAACACTGGTCAAGGTTTGTACTAAAATATAAACACATCACTTTTTTCCCCACCATTTTCTTGAGCTGAATTCAACAACCCAGGCTCATTACGGATATGTACCCAGGCAAAATACGTAACTGGAGGTTTGTCTGCTCACAGTTTTTGTTTTTGCAAATCCACCAGAGGCCAATTTCTCTTGCACGTTCCTTTCTCGCATAAATCCACCAGACAGCGCAATATACACTTCAAGCGTCTAGGCCAGCTTGCTGTCGACTGACCCACCCTCCTCCATCTACAAAACCCAACTGATAATGTTTTCAAAAGCAATCTAGAAAAAGAAAAGCAATCATGGCCGCATGATTTCACCATATTTTCAGTCTGTTGTTTATTTATTTATTTATTTGCTTATGTTTTACCTAGTTTCTGGATTGGAACCCTGTCATCATGGTCAACTCATCTCCGCATCCCAAGTCAATCAGCATACGTGACGAACTACTATGCAAACTGGTAAAAGCCATCTATATGAATGAAAAAGCCATCCATACGGAGGTAAGTGGTCAGCTGGTAGCGCTAAAAGGAACAAAAGTCGTCGGCAGAGTTCTGGAACAAATCTACTGATTGCATAATTATCATGGACCAATGGTAGCTCAAAGGTGTTAGGAGCCAAAATTAATTCCCTCCAAAAATGCTTTAGGTTTCGAATTGCAGAAGCTAACTCAAAACAAACTTAATTTTGGCTGGATTTTGTTCAGAATTACATAATGTCAGTTATTTTTTCAATTTGGTTTGAAGTTTACAGGGGTCTTCATAGAATTCATCTGTCTGTGAGCTTGTTAACTTTCAAATTGGGTTCAAAATCCAATAGTGTAAAATTGGGATTAATGATCACTTCACCATTGTCAAGATCTATTCACCTCGCTGGTGTGGCATTTATCATCATGATTACTACACAGGTGTGCCTTAGGCTGGCCACAATAAAAGGCCACTCTAAAATGGGTTGTTTTTTTTGACACAGCACAATATGCCACATGTCTTGCAACGTATGTAAGTTTAGAGGGAGTGTGCAATTGAGATGCTGACTGCAGGAATGTCCATCAGAGCTCTTGCTCATTCATTGAATACTCAGTTCTTTACCATCAATCTCCAAAAATTTGGCACTGCATCCAATCGCAGACCACATGTATTCATACTAGCGACCTAAACATCCAGCACCTCTACCTCCAAGATCATCTTAGACCAGCCACCCAGACAGCTGATGCAACAATGGGTTTCCATAACCAAAGCATTTCTGCACAAACTGTCAGAAGCCATCACAGGAAAGCTCATCTGCATACTCGTCGTCCTTATGGAGCTTTCCACCTGACTAAAGTTCATCATCGCAACCAACTAAAGTGGGGAAATGTTCTCTTCATGGATGAATCCCATTCAGATGGCAGACAGCATGTTTGGCGATGTGTGCTAATGTTAACATTGTGAATTGCCCATGGTGGTGATGGGGTCGTGATATGAGTAGGTGTATGCTATGAACAATGAACATTGCTGCATGTTAATGATGGCATTTTGAATGCACAGGAATACCATGACAAAATCTTGGGGCCCATTGTTATGCTGTTCATCCGTCAATATCACGTCATGTTGCAGCATAATAATGCACAACCCTATGCTGCAAGAATCTGTACACAATTCCCAAAAGCTGAAAACATCCCAGATCTTGCATGGCCAGCATATTCACTTCACATATTGCCCATTGGGCATGCTTGGGGTGCTCTAGATTGACACATACGACAGCATGTTCCAGTTTCAGCCAATATCCAGCAACTTCATACAGCCATTGAAAAGGAGTAGACCAACATTCCACAAGCCACAGTCAAAAACCTGATCAACTCTG